TCGGACAAGTTCGATAACCGCCATTATCCGACCGTAATTATTGGAGTTATTCCCCTTGGTTTCATTAATGCGATGCATGCGTTCCATGATGTTGTATTGCACTCATTGATCTACCAGTTATGTTGAATGATTTCTCTTTTAATATCAATTACTCACAAATACTTCATATATTTCAATCATACAAACAACTGCTCATTCAATGTGTGGCGGGCGTATTATATACCGCCCGCGGTAACCTTGTTTTTTTATCTTTTTGTCATCATGACATGTCATGTGAAATGTGATTGGTGACTTGTCAATACCTGGGACAACATATCTATAAATAGTGGTAGTGCTGTAGTGTTAACTGTTCCATATTTTTTTTCGACTTTAACATTTGATGACGGATTGGATCTCTGGAAAAGTGCCTTGGTAAAATTTAATTAGTTTTGTTTGTTTTGCAGATTGATCATTTACTCACAAAGTGAACAGGATAGAGATTGGTGCTAAGTGCAATAGAGGAGAGATGTGGTATTCTCCCACCCTTCACAGGTGTGTCTCCCCGGGAAAGATCAGCTTGTCACCCTCTAGGGGTAGATAGCCTCGTGGCGATTAGCACGTGTTCAATTGTGACGTCATTAAAATGCGTCATCGGTAATTATGACGTCATCAAAAGTGAATAACGATAGGCATACCCACGTGTTTTTGTTTACAAACATGGCAGACTACTGTTGGTGGAGCTGTGACTGAAATAATGGGATGGGAGAAAAATAATCATCCCCTACCTTGAAGGTGTAACAGAAATCTCAAACCCTCTGGATGATTTTTATCTCAAACCCTCTGGATGATTTTTATCTCAAACCCTCTGGATGATTGTTTTGGTTGTCTAACCCCCGGCAGAGCCCCGGGTTAGACAACCAAAAAACATCACCCCTCGGGTTGGAGAATTCTCTGTCACACCCTCAAGTTAGGGGAAGATTCTATTAATCAACTGGATCTCTACAGCAACATATCTTATGTATTTCAAATCGTAAGCTGTCATGACGCCTTCAACAACAAACGTGAACAGAGTGGATGTTATGATTTACAGTTCTAAAGATGACCATTTTGTTGTAATTGATGACCATGGTGACAGTGAAATTCATTATTGGTTATTTAAAGACTTTGTGAAATGCAATTCTAAATATAATTGTATGCAAGATGAAAATCCAAAATACCGATATGGCAAATATTTAAAATATGTTGTGAATTTTATCGACTGATGTGGCTTCAGTCACAGGTGATGTTTGTCTGGTGTTAATACTTATTTATCTTTTGTGTTTGTTACGGTTATAACTACTAGATACTCCATGTTAGGGAGATCTTGATGCAGTACAGCAAGATATCAGAAGCTGCAGGCTAAACCTTAACCTTATTGGAAGGAGCAGGATTTAGGTCTAGATCTTTATAAACTGCTATCAATTTTTATTTTAACCAACATTCTCATTTTCTGCACACATTATCTTTTAGCATAATGGCATACCGACGGAAAATTATTTCACAGGTCTTCTTAGACAGGGAATAAGTCTTTTAATAATGTCAGTTCTAAATTCTTCAAGTAGGTTAACCAGTATCCTTTATAGGATGTGTTGCTACACTGATTATATTCTAAACCATGCATGTTAACCAGGACCCGTTCTTATGCAGGGTTGGGGCCATTACTGAAATAAATATTTGGGGTTCGGAGGTTGATCCAGGTCATGGTGGGGTTTTTGTGACCCCTATTAATCACAATAACTTTTTTCTGCCAGGAAACGCTGTACGAATGCTAACAGTTAAATACTCTCCATCATCCATATTTTATCAATTACCATGTTCCCCTGCTGCTGATGTATCTGGAACAGTCCTTAAGGGTATCCATGTAATGTTGATTTATTAATACCAAGGTTTTTTTTAAACCTGTATGTATATGTTAGTGGAATAAGTCATGGAAACATAACCCAGGTTACTCATCATCTATCAAACATAGGTTTATCCTACTTTGGGCTTTCAACATAAATATAATTATGTTATAGTCGATATATGGAGTAAGTTAGTTTAGTGCAAATATCATCATACATTTTGCATGTATATAGAACTATATTGCTGTATGAAAATGCTATGCTTTATATAATATCACAATTTATCATACAATTCATCTAACAAATCGAGTGTTTACGATAATCCACCTAGCTAGATAGAAATGTTGGTATTATTGTGTACATTAATGCACATGTTGTATAATAGTATCTAACATGGGAAGTTATCGTCTAGTGTGTAGAGAGTTCCATAATTTTTCACGCTGAATTGTGTACATTCCAAATACACAACATAAATAGAAGTTTTTTGAAAATCCTTTGTATGTGTAGATGTCCTAGCTGTAGTAAAGTCTTGCTGTGATAAAAACCATTTAACCTTGTACTGTGTGTATTTTGTGTATATCTTTGCAATTAAAAATTGTGAATACAAGGTACAAATAAATTTCAAATTGAATGGAGCAATTTGATTAATTCTGATTTGCATACAAATATGAAGTACCTAACTTGAAAACTGTGTGAGTAGATATCTTGAATGTTACAGTTCTCGATAGTGTCAGTTTACTTGTATAATGATGAATGGTACAGGCATATTGTCCAATAACTATAGACTTCCAAAAATGTACACCTGTTATGGGAATGAACCATTACATGAATGTTACACTATGTAAAACATAGTAAAGTAAAACCAATGTATCTATATAATCGTGGTGTAGTGTAACTATACCCTAGTCTGAGGAGATTACACTTAGCTAAAACATCACCCTTTATATCTGTTCAACTTAATATAATCTACAAACATATTGACAATATACCTGTACACTACCAAGGCATGCTTGGCTGGGAATTGAGGAGGCTGGAAACTGAAACTTGATAATAGATTATGTTTATCTAAATTAGTCCTGATGGTTAGCTTGCAATCTATTCATGAAGTCAATTTTCCTGACAGTTTTAACAATGCAGGTACCATTGTCTGCATGGTAATAAATTCCTTACTGGTAAGTCAGGAAAGTTTTAATATTCAATAACTTCGGCCGCATTCGTTTATCGAGATCCAAACGGTTGAACCAGTTGGACCAGAGTTGTTCGGTTTATGACTGGAGGTCAGACCTAGTAATCTGATGCTGCTTTCAGGTGAGCCTTGACATAAATGTTTAATGTTTGCAGGTCCTCCAGGATTTATACCCAAAAATGTTACATTTAAAAACAGACAAACCGGTTGAACCAGATACGCAAAGGGGCCTTTGAGTATACACTGGTTAAATTTTTCATTTGACATTTTCATTACATAATTTTAAGTACATATAACTGATCATTTCAGGGTATTCAGATTGCTAGGTACTCTTGGGAAGCCTCTTGTCTTATATACTTAAAAATTAGCAGGTATATAGTAGTGCTATTAAAATGGTTTAGAACAGGACAGTATCTTTGTACATAGAGGGGACTCTCGTTTAATCAACTTAAAGCCTCATTTCTGGAAACAATAATACAACTATAGCAAAAACATAAACATGGGAAGCAAATTATTATTTTTATGTTTTTATATTCATTACTTTAAAATGGTGTCCAGCATTGTGAGTCAGTAATGACCAAGACCTACTTTTACTATTTATTTCAATGGTTAATGCTGTCTGTTTTTGAGGTTAGTCTGAATGTGAACAGGTTTCAAATGATGTATGGATGAAATTTCAAGTTCACATTAAAATGTGGGAAATAAATTATTGATTATGGAATGACTGTCTTTGTTTTTGTGTATCACCGTCATTTTGTTTTCATTGAGATACCGGGTACATCTGTCATTAAGATCTAATGTCAGGTATACAATACTAGTGAGATATCCGGCATCTGACATTAAGATCTAATATCAGGTATACAATACTAGTGAGATATCGAGTACATCTGACATTAAGATCTAATGTCAGGTATACAATACTAGTGATATATCAGGTATTTGACATTAAGATCTAATATCGGGTATACAATACTAGTGAGATATCAGGTATATCTGACATTAAGATCTAATATCAGGTATACAATACTAGCGAGATATCAGGTACATCTGACATTAAGAGCTGATGTACTACAATACTAGAGAGATATCTGGTACATCTGACATTAAGATCATTTAACAGAAATACAATACTAGTGAGATATTTGGTACATCTGACATTAAGATCTAATATCAGGTATACAATACTAGTGAGATATTTGGTACATCTTACATTAAGATCTAATATTAGGTATACAATACTAGTGAGATATTGGGTACATCTGTCATTAAGATCTGATGTTAGGTATACAATACTAGTGAGATATCGGGTATCCGACATTAAGATCTAATATCAGGTATACAATACTAGTGAGATATTGGGTACATCTGACATTAAGATCTGATGTCAGGTATACAATACTAGTGAGATATTGGGTACATCTGTCATTAAGATCTGATGTCAGGTATACAATACTAGTGAGATATCAGGTATACAATACTAGTGAGATATCGAGTACATCTGACATTAAGATCTGACGTCAGGTATACAATACTAGTGAGATATTGGGTACATCTGGCATTAAGATCTAATATCAGGTATACAATACTAGTGAGATATCGGGTATCAGACATTAAGATCTGATGTCAGGTATACAATACTAGTGAGATATTGGGTACATCTGGCATTAAGATCTAATATCAGGTATACAATACTAGTGAGATATTGGGTATCTGACATTAAGATCTGATGTCAGGTATACAATACTAGTGAGATATTTGGTACATCTGACAGAATGATCTGATGTCAGGAATACAATAGTAGGGAGAAATCAGGATTTCAACACTGGTTGGGAAATATTCAGTACTCAAGGCTTGTTTTTTGAAGTAACAAAAATGAAAACAAAATCCATTGACATTTGAAAATACATGATTTACTTCAACATAAGTTTATAAATATATTTTAAAGAAATAATCTGGAGTTTAATATACCCAACTTATTTCTCAATAAACATGAATGCCACACAAACACAGTGTGTGTGACCACTGCTATCACAAGGTTGCCTCTTCTAGGGAAATGCAGAAGGGACAAGTTTCTGGAAAGATCAGTCTTGGTGAGGTTTTGTCATAATTTATGTAGATAACACATTTTTAAGAACTTCCAGACGTTATGAAGCAGGTGGAGCCAGATCTTTGTGTACAGATTCTCGCAACTAAAGGATTCTAGAGTGTCAGTTTAATCTTGTAACAAACAAATCATGTCTTTCGCCGTGTGATGTGATCATAGATGACTGCCTGAACATACTTGCAGGTTTCAATGACGGTCCGGGTGGAGTTATCACCGGGTGTGGTCACCTGTAAATACACATAGTCCCTTCTTGTAAACAGAATTCAAAAGTGGTTTGCTGTAATTTAGTCTGAACACTTTCCTTTCAATAAATGCTTTAAGTTGCAGATTCATAAACATTTCGTAACTTAGGAAATTCCTTAACTAAAGATTTCCAATAGGAAACAGTGATAGAAAATTTTAACAAAATTTAAGATTTTTTTTAACAAAATTTTAGAAAATTTCCTTAAATGGTATCTGTGTTTGAGGAATGTCCTTAAGTAGAGGAAAGTTTGTGAAACTGGGGTCAGAAGAAATTCATTATTTAGATCTAAATTACAAAAAAAAAAAGAGATGACAAAATGTAAAAAAAAAGGCAAGGAAAACCAAACATTCATCCATCCCTCAATAGCAGCAGAGACAATTTATACATTCAGTTAAGTACGACACTTATTTATACTATCATCATTTGCCAAGTTAATCCTAGCATTTCTTTGTACTTGTTTTATTGTTTGCACTTGTTTATGCTTGTGTTATTGTTTAGAGTGGGAAATTTCTGATGAATCCTGTCATTATATGCAGCAAATGGTGTAAGGTAAAGATAGCACTGAGCCCATCCTTTCTTTGGTGTCTGCATCGAGTCCCTTACCTTAGGGTCAACGTTGATGATTTTTCTGTCTCGCTTGTTTTTGAACAACAGTCCAGATGCATTCTCTGCAATGACCTGGTAGTTAGGTGTTGGGTTAGATGTGGATGTCTGTGTTTCCCAGTTGTAAAAGCTATAAAATGTCAAAAATTCTTTTACAAATGTGATTAAATCAGGTTTCCTTTTTATTTCAGCCATTATCTCAATTGAGAAGAAAATGCAATATTTCAACTTACTGTAAATCACATTGTTTTGGAAGTACAACATTGTATAAAAAAACCCACTGTACAAGTAAAAATTCAGAAATAGACTTCTTCTTGAATTAAAAGTGAATGCATAATTTACTGGAACAGAACACAGTTATTTCTTTGCTTGGTCATCAAAATACATGTCTACCAATATTAAATTTAATCATATATGGTGTGTCATCAATAAGTATTTCTGATAAGCTATACCTTAAATCAGACGGCCTAGGCAATAATCTTTTCCTTGCACCAAAGTATGGTTCAAAATCTTCTGTCTTCAGTCTGTGAGCATAATCTACATAGCCAGAAATCTCCTGTCCTCGAGCATTCTTGTCTCGGATGAAGATGATTGTCTACAAAAACAAAAATTTAGACAAATCTTGATGATGTTTAATTGTATTTACAATTCTCCCTAAAGATTTGAAGCTTGCACTATTTTCTTAAAAGAATAAGAAATGCCCAATTCCATTCCTTAAACAAAATTACAGTGATATGTATATATATACATATATTTTATCTATGCACCGGGAAAATCCTGGAATTTGAGAGCAGTGGGCCATTTCAGCAATTTTTAGTCAATATCAAAATTAAGAGGGGCCATTGTTTGTAAAATTAAAAGAAAATTGAAACATGGAGGGGTCAATTTCAGTTTTGAGGGGTCAATGATTATCCCTGTGATGCATATTTTATTTTCATTTTCAAAGTAAAGAAACTGACAAACGTTTGTTAAACAGAAGGCCTCAACAACATACCATTAGTTCCCCTTAATATAAATATATTAGCAACGGAATCCCATATCAAGATCATCTTATTCTTGTATATTTTTTCAAAAAGGAAAACCTGTTCCGAAATGTTATATTTTCACTGTGCAGAAATGTTCCATTTTCTTCATAACTTACAGTCATTTTCCCGCTCCTGTTTGCCTCTTCTCTATGAGCAAGTGCTTTCAAAAATGGGTCCTTCAGTTCCTTTCCTGAACTTGCAAGTGTCCTTTATAACATATGCAATTAGATGATTCAAAAATTCGTACAATTTATATTTGACTGTAAATGTGAGATCAAACATTTATACAGGTAATGATAACAATTGACGATCGTTGACTTGATGGTAATGTGGAGATACACCAACACTCATAATGTATGTTACTTTCAAAAGTAGTACAGTCTAGTTACATACATCATTTGACTAAAGGTTTTACATTAAACACCTATACCTACTATATCTTGACATTTTACTTCACCCTTTAAGAATGTCAGCTAAATCATGTAGATCTACTGAAGAAGGTAAAGGAAAGGGCCTATCTGGGACTGGTTTGACTGAAAATGGAGTCCTGTGCTACCGTATGGGACCCAAAAGCAGTGAGAGACTTCTATCCAGACTCCAACATGCCCAAGTGGATAAGATCGAAATGGTATAGGGATGAACAGCCCGGTGGGTCCTTAACAGATATAATAACACCTCCAGTGTCACAGACGTGCCATCAGATCTAGGAAGGAGGACACTGGAACACTGATGTGCTGACGCCAGACTGACAGTATTCTATAAAATCTGGAACAACCTGGTAGCCATCAACCCGAAGGATCAGCTCATCTCGTAGCAGAGGCCGTGAACACCAGTACCGGCAGATCCAACCCACCAAAGACTATACCAGATCATCTTTCTACCCTCGAACTGTAATCCAGTAGAACAGCTTGCCAAGAGACAGAAGTCTCGAAGATCAACCACAGTTGCCTCATCTAAACTTAAACTTTCTCCCTTCTTACTTTACTTTCCCTATATATTCACACTTTCCTATGCTTTCGATCAAACTTTGCTTTATTTTTTCCCTTTCGCACATGTTACATCTGGTGATAATCTTCGGATGAAGGACTACCAGTCAACAGGCAAAAGCAGGTACTACGTAAACATTCCAAAATTTTACTTTAAACATGTACTAGCATAAAGGAAGAAATGGTGGTTGCTCATATTTTAGAACATAATATATGTACATAAAATTTGTTTAAAAAGAGTGTAAAACAACAATGTTGGGTGCTCCTAACTTACTTTTGCTGACTACGTTTAGACAGCCGACTGGCCTCTGCTGCCTGTTTCCTTGCCTCAAACTCCTCCCTCTTCAACACCTCCCCACTCCCTCTGTACCCCAATTCCACAACCTGACGTGCCAACTCTTCATCCTGTAACAATTAAAACATTAGTATCATTATAATATTTAGATGTTATGTTTTATGTTTTATGGACATTCTTCGTTTCTTTTTTTTTTGTATTTTGACTCTCCAAAATAACAGCACTGTTGAAAATATAAGGTTGTAATATGGCTGTGTATATCAATTATCTGTGTCAATATGTTTACCTCAAAACTGCTGTTTCAATTAATATACATTGTATGTCATTCATACTTGCCAACCCTCCCTATTTAGGAGGGAGACTCCCGATTTTGGACCCTTAATTTTAATGTTTGCAAAGAGTGAATATGCTGAACTGTCCCTTTAAAAGAAACTCCCCATGGAAATTTCAAAAAGGTGGCAAGTATGGTCATTACTGCTGTCATTTGACCATGTATTTCCAGTTGTAATGTGTGGACATGAACTTCCAGGATGACACAATAGTTTTGTATTGACTATATGTATGATGATACTGCGGTGTTGATATGACTGTCTCAATACGTACTGCTGTATCAATATGACAATACTACATGTTGTGTCATTATGTTTGTAAATACTACTACGTCTAAACAGAAGTGTCATTATCTGTCAATACTGCTGTTCATACCTAAATTCTTACCAATTTATTATTATAAACTTGCATATATTCATGTACACGTACTATACAAAATATCAAAATAAATCTGATGCAAAGTGGTGGTCTATGGTTTATAAGTTTACATAAATCGACATATACACATACACACCACATGTGTACCATGTCAGTATGATTACTGTAGACACAAACGGTCTCCTTTAATTGGTACATCAGGATGACAGTCCGGTTCACACTTTGATATTGGTTTTACAGCACCGGTGTATATGGGGAACCGTATAAAGTACAGATAAAGAGATACATAACGTTTAATTTAACAAAATTCATCGATAAAATAGACATCACTATGTTACCTCTAAGTAAAATAGATCTATAGGTTTTATCTGCGAGTCCAAAAAGTCTTCATAAGTATTGAATTCTGCGACAATGTTATCGCCTCCACTTGTCACTTCCTCCTCCATTTTCCAAGTTGTTTACATGCCTAACAACACCTATAAATTTCACTTTGCGCATTGAAATATAGTTTTAAGCTTTGATATTTCACTCCCTATTTATTTAAATTTAGATATATAAATACATTTAACAACAATTTCTCATATTAAATTATGTCAAAAATATCTTAATTACGTAATCTTAAAGGTTAATCACGTAATTAACAAGAAGAAAATAGTTCTTCAATTTAGCGTAGTAATCGATAGCTTCTATAGTAACAAAAGCGCGCAAAATCTCGATTAAGAAAATAATTGCAAATGATATGTAATTATTTCGTAACATGTATATAATTTCCCGAACATAATTTTGTTGGTCTACATATAATTCTGATGCTAAGAAAATATCGTTATTTAAATACTATTTTTGTCTCGCACATCCGATTTGTAAACGAGTCGTCAAGACGACACTGTCATGGCGGCTGCTGTCGCGATTTAGTCTATTTTGATTTGTGTCAAAGGAGATATTCGTTATACTTGAGGATAACTGCAGATGACAGCTATGTAAATAACCGTTTTTCAAATAGTTCTAATATCTGATACCGACATATACCGATATACCGCCCGTGGTAAGTGGAAAGTTGCTGAGCAAGCACCTGTTACAGTACCAGACAACTTTCTTTTTGAAAGTTAAAAAGTCACTTGCACATATATAACAACATACTTTTCATCAATCTAAAGCAAATTCCGTATTTCTGCTCCTGATCGAAGTCTTTATGTGCCTTTTGGGTTTTTGTTAAGTATATAAACGTCAATTCATTTTAATGCAAAGGGTGCTTAATTTTTACCTCATCAGGTCGTCATTTTAGTCTCAATTTACTTCAAAATGTCTCTCCTACCGTAACTCATTTTTTCTACCAATCAATGTCAATATCACCCGGTGCATTTATGTGAATGCCTTAATTTCTAGATCTATAATTGTACTTATATTATACCTTGTATTTCACTTTATGGTTAAATTTGCTGAATAAACGAATTAGAGCAACACTTTTGACATTATTAAACAAGTCAGTTTCCAATCACTTCCTTTACAATGATAACTTAAGTATTCAACCCTGTCATTCTTGTTGAAGGCGCTGCTATGTGCCCAGTTTCTGTGCCTGTCTGTTTATATCGCACACAATATATATATATGTTGTGATATCCCTACAATAAAAATATGTAATGGGAAAAAATATTTTACACCTTTTTTTCAAGATTTCTATCTACTATTAGTACAAAAATGCAGCAAAATGTTTTGCACAGGATATAATTGTAGTGGAACTACATGGAGTCGGACTGGGTTGATCGTCTGCGACCAGATCTAGAAAGCTCAATTGGTAGAGCGTCCGTCTAGAGTTTGCCAATCCTTGTTTCAAGCATTGTGTGATTGCTTAGCAAGGATATCAAACCCGAGTTGTAAATAGTTGTGTCTTGGGGACAAAGACTGAGAAAAAGGAGGTAGGAGGGTTTATCACTCCACCCTCAAAATCAATAAGGTTATGTCTAAACCTCATGCAACATGATTTTCAAAAGATGAATTTAAACTTACCCCTATAATTTTTAGCTAAGCTTTTTTTACATTTTAACTTCTGGGCAATGTAATAGAATCTGGAGACATGCATTTACCAAGAAGACAGAAATAATCAGCCGTGAAAGAAAAGCAGACTAAAACTGTGTTCAGCATTTCAACTTTTAAAATCAATATTTCAGCATTCAGATCAAAGTCTTTTTCCATCTTCTTTGACATGCCCCTTACCGGCCGTTCTCTTTATTTTCGTAGTGTTGTTATATTTGTAAAATAACACGTAGCCTGACATCATATTTATCTACATTAACTAACATTACAAACATGATATAAAACATGTATTGTGCTAATTCTACTGACAATGTAATGTATTATAACTAGCTGCTAGTCTGTTACAAATTACATGATGTCTGCATATATTCACCACTTTTTTAAGTACATTACCTAAAAAGACTTTGTTTGGGTCTAAAATAGAAAACAAAAGATTGAAGAGTGTTATTGATTTCGATTCAGTAAATCACCAGGAGTCAGATAGCTTAGCTGGTGTATTGCATCAGTATAGAGATTGGGACATGTCATTAGGTAGCCTAGGTGATGTATTACATCTGTGTAGATTTTAGAAGTCCCAAGATAAAATCTTAAAATATGGCCTTAGGTATGATATTTAATACTAAGTAGATGCAGGCGTCTAAGGTCGTGTGATATAAATATATGTATAATAAGAGACGCTATCTCTGTCTTTTTTTTTTTTTTTTTTTTTTTTTTTTATATTTAATTCCAACACAAGGACTTCTCAATGTTTTCTTTGTATAATAAAGTATATTCATGGATGACCGTTGAATTTTACTTTGCAAAATGAAATGTTATGTACTACAGGATATCAGTGTTCTGGGTATAAAAATTCAGTGCGACTTGACCAGGAATAAAATCCTGCACATTCAATTTTTGTACTTTTACCAATTGAGCTATATCTGGTGAACGGAAGTGACCTTGCCAAACAGCTCTACAGTTATATCCGAAACAAAATTAAGGGGAGGTTACTGAATATACAAAAAAGGGTAAAAACCTCTACAGTGTAGTATTTTGCTTGCAATGGGAAAGTGGTGTTAAAGTTGATATTAAGTAATATATCAGATATTCCCAGTACATATAGCTCTCTACTGATCTACTGCCATGAGTGTTACTACCTGATTATATACAACATATATCTCCACTAAATGTTATAAACAGTAATTTAATTAATGACACATTTCAAAGTTACAAAAGAAATAATTATTTGATGGCAGTCTCTGGTCATTCTGAGTAATGAGTGGCTTTTATTGAAGACGACTGTACGGAAATTTAAGTACCAGCAAAGGTATAGTGTTGGAAGGTAATATGTATCCTTTAATAAGATTAAGTTCTGGTAGATATAAAAAGTGATTGAATCTCTCATAGATCAAAATTAAATTTCCAGACCAGATATTTTGTTTGTTTAATGGAAGTTTTCAATTTAATTGATTGTTACCCAGGCAAAGGACCCTATGGATTGACCATTAAGTAGCATACTTGTGGCTTATAATCTAACATTGACTTGATAAATCTTGTCTATAGCGTTTGACCGGCACTTTGTGGTGTTGATTTATATTGTTTACATTAAACACTTAGAACATTTGTGGAATGTTGACATAGCCAGGTTACAAGATTGAAGTTATCTGTTAAATTTATTGTGAGAATTATAGTTCAATAAAAGTACATTTATGGATGTGCTTGTTATAATAATATATGTATTAACTCTTTTATTTGCAAAACAGGATATACTGATACAGTCATTTTTACGTTAAATTGTATTTACCTATAGCAGTTGTGAGAGAAATATAAATTATTAATAGGTTAACACAGTTGGGGTATTATGGGATAGAACTGTTTTGTATTGATATTTGTTTACACGTTTATTATGCTTTGCTGAACATTTGTTCCAGGCTGATGATCTGCTGATCCATTGTTTCCCTAGCATACCTGAATTATTAAAGATGCTGATGCTCACCTCAACTCTGCTGGTATTTGAAGATTAAATGTTAACCCTTCCGTTTGTCTGTTTCTAGTGTTGGGACATAACAAACCTCAAGATGGTGCTGACAGATCTTCCTTTTGAACATGGTGCTCTGATCCACAGCAGATACACCACAATCCGCAGGCCTGACAGTGCTCCAGCTGGCATCAAAGAGGATGAGGAAAGGCGGCAACGTCAAACTAAATCTTATGCTACATTTTTAAGGTAAGACAGGAAGCAAGGGCACAATAGCTACCTTTAGATCATAGTCCTGTCAACATGGCTACTCTGGATTGATATGAAAGAGAAAATACACTCAAAGCTTCTGTGCAATATATCACACATATAAAATAATTCAGATTAATTACTTTTAGAGGTAAAGCTTTGTAGAATAGGGGAAAATTCAGATTGGTGAATGAAGAGCTCATCCATCAGTAAAGCCTTGTGAAATAGGTATCCTCTATCACATTATTTGTATTTGTAATGAATAAGATTCTGAAACTGTAATTTTAATTGTTATTTTTTTGTGTTTTTCATTTCTAGAGAACAAGAAAGAAAAGTAGGCCCAGAAGGATTCCTCGATTCAAGTAGATATTCTCATTCTTTTGTGGTAAAGAAAGATAAATCAAAACAAAAGTTACGAAAATCAGCAGATTCAGGCATTCCTAGCCGTCCTTCAGTTGTGGCCTTCAGTGCCCGAGTGGAGAAGGATGGAAAAGACCACAAGAAGAGAATGAAGGTGATCGAGGTGAGTGTTAAGACTTAGGGAAGTCTCCTGTATTCAAAGTGCCTGCATGAGTGCATAGTGTTATACATTTAATCTGTAACCTGTTAGGCAATATGCATGCCTCCGTATGGATCGATTTTGTTATGCATGTGTTCCAATCCTTATAGTTTATTACAAGTGATTTTAGTTAGTGGGGAAGCAGGTTGGGGCTCAGATTAAGAACTGACCTGTCCAAACACAAATTTAAATACAAACATTCATTTTTTTTATAAAATATAATACAGGTATAGATTGAAAGAAAGAGACAAAAACAGAAAAAAGAAAGTTTTTTTTTTCATTCTGAAATTGTCAATTAAATGTGTTTTGTGTGGTAATAATATTTGTTGTTTTCTATAGTATACACGTACATGTAAGTTTCAACTGCATTATGGATGTATTTTATTCCAAGTAAACATTTTTAATAATTTACAGATTTAAATTTGACTGAATTTGGAAACAGATTCTGCCATTTCTGAATGATGATATGCAGTAAAATTGAATAACTGAATTTAGAATTGCTTCAAGTCAGTAACACTCTTTATAGGTGCATGTTTCTTTAAATGTATTAGGTGGAATTTTTTGTTGAAGTCAAAATGGTGTTGTCTTTTTTGATTTTGTACTGGTACCTTGTATTAAGGATATATAATGGGATCTTCATCTCTTCGCCAAGAGACGTTTACTTTTAGAATGATGTTAAATCTTTTATAAGTGGAAATCATAATTAAGTCATATAATTTGTGCAGAAAGCTAACACTCCAGTAATTCTGATGTAAAGCATGCTGCTGAATTAAATATCTTATAAGGGAGGTAAACATTTACTGGTATAATGTGTAAGGTAAGGTAGGATATATCCTTAATGTACAGCATGGTGCAGCATGCAATCAGTTCATTTAATAAAATGTGCTGAAAACACCATTTCCACAGGAAGGCCAGATGTCCCTGAGGGTAATTATAGCCATTCTGTTACTCTGTAGTGGTGAACACTGACCATGTTAGAACAATACTCCATTGAATTCAGATCTTTTCCCCAATGGACCTGGTATATTTATCTTAACATAAAAGATACAAAACTAATATTTGTCATCAGACCGTAGTTGTGAACTTGTAATAATTGAAATCAGATATTAGAATCTCATCATTTCTTGCATATAGAAATCATATCCTGTCCTACCTTTGGTGTAAGATGTCGTTCCTGTAGAGGTTTCTGTTGGCTTCTTTTTTCATTCTGGATCATGCAAGTTTCTAAATAGTTGTTTTATCCAGATCATGTATGTAAAGGTGGTATTTGTGACAATATTGTTATAATTTCCATTGTCCTTTCCTATAATCCTTTTTACCTCATATTCAAAATTTTGCAGTCATACTAATTGTAGCATATCTTTAGAATTTTACATTGTAGAAAGATACTTAGTAATCATGTATTTAAATGTATAACCTTTACTGGAATACATGGAAAATACATTTTGCACTCTGATGATATATAGTAGTAATACAACAGGCTGGGCATTGAGCCTCCCTCCCTGCAACCCTGTAGGAACCGATTCCCTTCCTTCCACCCTGTATGAACTGATTCCCTCCCTGCAACCCTGTAGGAACCGATTCCCTCCCTGCAACCCTGTAGGAACCGATTCCCTTTCTTCCACCCTGTATGAACTGATTCCCTTCCTTCCACCCTGTATGAACTGATTCCCTTCCTTCCACCCTGTATGAACCGATTCCCTTCCTTCCACCCTGTATGAACCGATTCCCTTCCTTCCACCCTGTATGAACCGATTCCCTTCCTTCCACCCTGTATGAACTGATTCCCTTCCTTCCACCCTGTAGGAACCGATTCCCTTCCTTCCACACTGTAGGAACCGATTCCCTTCCTTCCACCCTGTAGGAACCGATTCCCTTACTTCCACCCTGTAGGAACTGATTCCCTTACTTCCACCCTGTCTAGTATGATTCCCTACCAACCTGTTTAAACTGTCTTCCTTCCTACTGGTACCACCCTGTATAAACTGACTCATTTCCTCCCATCCTGTTTAAACTGACTCCTTTCCTCTGACCCTGTATAAACTGACTCCCATTCTATCACCCTGTATAAAGTGACTCCCATTCTATCACCCTGTATACACTGATTCCCATTCTATCATCCTGTATAAATTGATTCCATTTCTTTCATCCTGTATAAACTGATTCCATTTTTTTCATCCTGTATAAACTGATTCCATTTCTCTCATCCTGTATAAACTGATTCCATTTCTCTTATCCTGTATAAACTGATTCCATTTCTCTCATCCTGTATATAGTGATTCCCATTCTATCATCCTGTATAAACTGATTCCATTTCTCTCATCCTGTATAAACTGATTCCATTTCTCTCATCCTGTATAATCTGACTTTCTTCCTCCCTTCCTGTATAAAGTGATTCCCATTCTATCACCCTGTATAAATTGATTCCCATTCTATCACCCTGTATAAACTGTTTCCCATTCTATCACCCTGTATAAACTGTTTCCCATCCTTTTCTTCCTGATTCCCATTCTACCATTTTGTATAAACTGATTCCCATTCTATTACCCTGTATAAACTGATTCCCATTCAATCACCCTGCATAAACTGATTCCCATTCTACCACCCTGTATAAACTGATTCCCATTCTATAGCCCTGTATAAACTGATTCCATTTCTCTCATCCTGTATATAGTGATTCCCATTCTATCACCCCCCCTAAATTGATTCCCATTCTATCACCCTGTATAAACTGATTCCCATTTTATCACCTTGTATAAACTGATTCCCATTCTATCACCCTGTATAAACTGATTCCCATTCTATCACCTGTATAAACTGATTCCCATTCTATCACCCTGTATAAATTGATTCCCATTCTATCACCCTGTAAAAACTGATTCTCATTATATCACCCTGTATAAACTTATCTATCACCCTGTATAAACTGATTCCTTTTCTATTACCCTGTGTAAACTGATTCCCATTCTATCACCCTGTATAAACTTAATCCCTTTCGTTACTCCTGCACTGTTTAAACTGACCCTTCCATCCTCCCGACATCTATAGTCTATACACTGACCCTTCCATCCTCCCGACATCTATAGTCTATATACACAATCTCTTTCTCTAACTTGGCCTGTTTAAAGTTCTACTTTCCTCTCTCCTGTATAATCTCTCCCTCCCTTTCTCCTAAATAAACTGTCCGTCCCTTTCTCCTATATAAACTCTCCCTCCCTTTCTCCTAAATAAACTGTCCCTCCCTTTCTCCAGTATATCGTCATTACCCTTTAGCCTATGTATAAAATGACCATACTGCAGTGTACAAATAGACAATGTCATCCTTAAGTCATTAGCTACAGTACATTTTGACATTTAAACTTTCCTACCAAGTCATTTTCTAGGTGGTAAATTATCACATGCAGTCAAGGCATTTCTGTCATTTGTTTACATTTTAAACTAGATTTAAGATTTTAGCCTTTATTTGATAATGAAAATTAAATAGACATAATGCACAGGTGAAAATCTATTGATGGTATTTTTAAAAAAAATTTTTGATAATTTTCACTTCTTTTGACTCCACTAACCTTTTTAGAAATTGAACATTTATATATTCCTTTTACATGTAATTTTGTTTAAACAAAAATCTGTAATATTATTTATGACTATAATATTGCACTTTGTTAATTGATAACAATTTAGAAAAAAAATTGTAAGATACACATGTTAGCAAGTGTATCAGGGCTTGTTTACAGGTAAAATAAGTCATGTGAAATAATTATAGATTTGACGCTTTTACATGCATGGTCAAACTCATGACACTGCTAAGTTATAATTTCTGATTTCCATTTCATTATATGAAAATTTAGTTGTTTACTGATTCCAGCCATTCAGCAGCTTTCGTTTCCTTACTCAGTTTAGGGATGATCTATATAGCTGCTATAACACATATTTCCAAGGATCAGAATTTCTTGGTTTGGATCAATAGTGAACTATGAAGTTAAGGCTCCATGAACATTTCCATTTACACAAAAACATACGGCAAAATTTAGTGTAAAATGTCAAATGACATACCGTGCAGTATCCTCTTCATACCGTGCAGTATACTCTACATATCGCGCAGTATACTCTACATACCGTGTAGTACACTGTACATACCGCACAATACGCTGTACATACCGCACAATACGCTGTACATACCGTGCAGTACACTGTACATACCGCACAGTACACTGGACATACCGTGCAGTACACTGTACATATTGCGCAGTACACTGGACATACCACGCAGTACTCTGGACATACCGCGCAGTACACTCTACATACCATGCAGTACACCGTACATACCGTGCAGTAAACTGTACATATCGTGCAGTAGACTGTACATACCACGCAGTACACTTTACATCCCACGCAGTACACTGGACATACCTTGCAGTACACTGGACATACCGTGAAGTACACTGTACATATTGCGCAGTACTCTGGACATACCGTGCAGTACACCGTACATATTGCGCAGTACACTGGACATGCCACGCAGTACACTGGACATACCATGCAGTACCCTGTACATATTGCGCAGTACTCTGGACATACCGTGCAGTACACTGCACATACCGTGCAGTACACTGCACATACCGTGCAGTACACTGTCCATACCGTGCAGTACACTGGACATACCGTGCAGTACACTGTACATACCGTGCAGTACACTGTACATACCACGCAGTACACTGTACATACCACGCAGTACACTTTACATACCATGCAGTACACTGTACATACCGCACAGTACACTGTACATACCGCGCAGTACTATGTACATACCGCACAGTACACTGTACATACCGTGCCATACACTTTACATAATGTGCAGTACACTGTACATACCACGCAGTACACTGTAATACTGCGCAGTACACTGTACATACCGTGCAGTACACTGTACATACTGTGCAGTACATTGTACATACCGTGCAGTACACTGTACATACTGCACAGTACACTGTACATACCACACAGTACACTGTACATACCACGCAGGACACTGTTCATACCATGCTGGACATACCGCACAGTACACTGTATCCCTTCTTTAAGGCTATTTTTGACAATGCATCCAGTAAAAGTCCAAAATCAAAATATGTTTAATCTGGAATAGATTTAAAGTTGTAAATATTGGTGAGGTATTTTGGGTTATAGGTATTGTATACAGTGTTTAAGATCTGGAAAAGTCAGATTGATCAGAAACATATAAACTGGTTTCCTTTTGTACAGATATATGACACAATGTTAGCGGAACCTTGGAAATGCATGTCCAAATAGTGTCATGTCCTTGTCATTTAAACAGTTTATAAAAACAATTTTCTGGTAAAAAAATGTTTTCACTTCTTTCATTCATGAATCAATGGCTATAATTATTTTTTTGTCTTATTTGGGTTCAAATTGAAACAATATAGTTCTAACATTGACCTGTTTATAGGATCACATGTGGCAACACAAACAAGAGGAGCGAGAGCTAAAGCGTGTTGAAGGGGATATTATCAAGAATCAGCGGGCAGTTCGACACACTCTCAGGGATTTTGAAAATGGTAAGTGGCAGCACTGGCAGGATAATTATCTCCCCTGCTTCATACCTCAGTGACTCATACCAAAAATGCGAAGAACATTTTTGGAACAGATCAGTTACCTGCATTCATTCCAATACAAGTACATGTAGTCAGGTAATGTTATTTGGCCTACTTCTTCCACGTCATATCTGTCAGGATGTCAAATAATATGTATTAATGTTTTTTTTATTTTTTTTTACTCTGTATGGTTATTTTACCCCTGCAACAAAAGTATAGAGGGTATACTGAAATAAACTTGTCTGAGTCTTTCTGTCTATTGATAAAATCTTGTTCATATAAGTCCTTCTAAACTAATAGCCAATTTCAACAAAACTTTGTGTACATCATGTAGTTGGCATCTGATATTTATATTTTGATTTCAACATTTCTCCAAGAGTTATTGCCCTTTTTGTACAAACTAATGTGACTAATTATGGTGAAACTTTTTGGGGGTAATACATCGGCAGTATATTTTATATTGAAAGACTCACTTTTAAATTTTGGGATTCAGTTAATTTAGTGGTTGAGCGGGGGAATGAGTATGCCTGTGGCTCACAGTTCTAGTTATGCCCAGTGTAGAAATAGGTTCTGCTCCCTACTAAACGAGCAAATATGATAACGTTATTAGTCATTATATATAATTAACTATTTGATTATAATGATATGATCAACAATATCTCAGACTCTGTTAAACTTCCACAGCGATTAATAAAAAGAGGATGCAGGAGGAGAAGAAACTGAACCAGGGACTGGAGGTCTACACAAAGATCAGGCGGGACTTCGTCCACAAGAAGGAAGATGTAGGTTCAATTATGTGTGTTTTGTTGGGTAGGGAGTATTTGTGGTATTGTATGGTTAAGAATATCTAGTATTGTTAATATGATAAAAAGAAAACCCCACTCCATTTGGGGTGAGGTGGGATGATCTCAGCCAATGGAGGAAGATTCTTAAGATTCTTCCCTCAAGGGTTGAGATCCCACACTCTCATTACAACTAGAAGGTAAATGAATCATTTTCTGTTTAAACTGTTGGCCCCGTAAAATCTGCATTGATGATGCTACAGGTCAGTACGTCATTGATCCGATGTAAATGCATTGTTGAGATGATACATGTATCATACAATTGTCACAACTGGGGAATCCCCCATCTCAAACCTAGAGTGAGACAAGGATATCATACACTGGAAAAAGTGTCGATACTCCTGTCTGTGGTAAGATAAACCATTTTGTTTAATTTCCCTATCATTCAAATATAGAGGTATATGATATGATTTTAATGAGTTTGATTAGAAGAGACAGGTATTTGATTTTTGCTAAACTGAACTTTTTTGTTTATTTACGGTATACTATGATATCCTGAATAAGTACCATATTGCAGAAATTTTGGGAAGTCATAATATTTGGCAATTTGGCTCAGGAAATGAAAGCTTATGTTTTGTGCTTAAAAATAATTGTGATTTTTCATAAGTCCTAGCTTTATAATTTGGAGTCTGATATGTTAAGCTGTCACCCCTAGACAATTGTGCTGACCAGCATTTACACTTACCTTTGGCACACAACACACAACAATCTGTGTAACATTATACTCTCATGAGCTACGTATATACTCCATGGTAGTTAGAATCAGACCACATAATGACAGAAAAAAAGTCATTTTTTTGTTTCTATTTTGGAATTATTTTTTTGGGGATTTAGATGTTAACCTGCCAAATTGCCAAATCAAATTTCAGCTTAAATTTCCTGCTATATGCTGTTGGTCAAATTTTTCATCTTTAAAAACACTGGGGAAGATATATGAATTTTCTCTCTACAGCAAACAAAACACAGAATTGAAAATAATGCCCTGAGAGATCAGGAGATAAAGAGAAAGGGTAGAAAAGTTGCCGTTATAGAGTAAGTTTGGTGGTCGAATTGCTGATTAGCTAGCGGCCTGCTACACCTGTATGTACCTGTAACCCGTTCTTTAGTGATCTTTTTATCACAGAGATTTTTGTAGCAGTCTACTTTTCTGATTCAAAATCAACTTTGTGAAAAGTTTGTTTAAATGAAACATTTAAGAACTATTTAATCCAAGCCAGTTCTAGAACTCTTGATTTGCAAAAATCTCTGTTGGCTGTTCAGTGCCAGAGTTTCCACCAACACCAGCAAACCTTGACTGTTAGTATTCTGTTGTTAAAATTTAAGTAGATTTTGTAATAAAGTAAGGTATTAGGCTTGTATACTACCTGTACTCCGTGTACCTATACTCTTAATCATTGTCTTTTATAATGTATATGAGGTACTTAATAAAACAGTTGCATAGTATCATATATCATTAATTGATATTTTTTAATAAGCTTACTTGAAATTCTTGAAATTATGAAATTTATGCTTGATCAAACATTTTATTATGAACTACAAAAGAAACTAGATTTAACTAGAAGGTGAAGTGTTTCAAAGATACCCCTACTCCCTGTATGTCTACTAAGTTTGAAGCCCATTCATGAAACAGTGGCCAAGATATACTCAGAAACCTGTATTTCTGAAACATTGTATTTTATTATTTAAGGTCAAGATCAAAGGTCAAATTGAGGCCACAGTGACCTCATTTTAGGGTGTGACAATACTGCCTTTCAATGATGTATCCAATATACATGCTTTTTTGCCAATTCATGAAATGGTGGCTGAGATATGCTCCAGAATCATTCTTTCAGTACTTGAGGTCAAATTCAAGGTTAAAACAGTGACCTCATTTTATGATGTGACACGTCCCTTTCCCATGATACACATGCATGTATATACAAACTTTAAATTTGGTGCCCATTGATAATCAGTGGCTGAGATATGCTCCAGAAACCACTGTCAGCACAGACGGACCAAGCGGTTGCTATATACCCCACCCTCCCCCACCCCCCACCCCACACACACACACATACACTGGGGGTTGAAGCAGGGGTATAATAAAATGCCTTTTTTTGAGGTTTACCTCTTATAATCTTTGTGATTATAACTTATAATTTGGGACAAATTCTACTTAAAGACTATATTATCGCAATTTTTTATAACATACATGTACATAGCCTTGGGCTATTATAAATCAAAGTTTGCTGGTGACTAGATAACTGTTAACTCACACTTTAAAAAAAAGTACATGCAGTTTTGAGGCCTCCAACTGAATAATGACATGTTTCTTTCCTGGGTTCTCTTTCTGTTAAATATCTGTTTAGAAAAGTTAAAAAGCGACATTATTTTTTCAACATATTCAAAAATAAGTAAAATAAATATAAAAAGAATATACAACCAGGAAATAATCACCTGGTACATGTATAAAGGTAACTCAAAACTGACTGTATTGCTCCACCTGTTGAATGCTTCACTAACCAGCACTGCACATTTTATTATTGATGCTTCTGTTTCCATGGTTACTTGAGGTTTCACCATGAAATTGGATTCTATAATCTGTCACCAAGTACCCCAGTGGTATCTGTAATAAGATGTTTCCCATTTCAGCTGACAAAGACACGGATACAACATACCATGTCTACAGAACACAATACAAAATGGCAGGGCAGAAAAAACGAAGTCCAGCAGTAAGTTTGGCTGATCAATTCACCAAACTTTTGTTATATTCAACAAATACGAGCAAATTTGATGGGATGACATTTGCAGAGAGCGTATGTCATTCAATCTATTTAATGGCTCCGTTGTTTAAATGTTTAAAATGTACTTTGGTGGATTTGGAGTCCTCTATATTGTAAGTTTGGTTGATAAGTTCTATATAAAACATACATACCTGGTATGTCGCACCATCGCCAACCCGCCACATTACAGTCTCCCCAAGGGGTCGACTGTTGCTTTTGTTTGCAAATTCCAGTGTTAACAAATAATATAGATACAGACAACCGGTGACAATGACATTTTACCAGGCAGAAGTAAAATTATATAGATACAGACAACCGGCGACAATGAAATCTTACCAGGCAGAAGCAAAATAATATAGATACAGACGACCGGTGACAATGACATCTTGCCAGGCAGAAGTAAAATGATACAGATACAGACAACCGGTGACGATGACATCTTACCAGGCAGTAGTAAAATAATATAGATACAAACAACCGGTGACAATGACACCTTACCAGGCAGAAGTAAAGTAATATAGATACAGACAACCAGTGACAATGACATCTTAACAGGAAGAAGTAAAATAATATAGATACCGACAACCGGTGACAATGCCATCTTACCAGGCAGAAGTGAAATAATATAGATACAGACGACCAGTGACAATGACATCTTAACAGGCAGAAGTAAAATAATTAGATACAGACAACCGGTGGCAATGACATCTTACCAGGCTGAAGTAAAATAATATAGATAAAGACAACCGGTAACAATGACATCTTACCAGGAAGAAGTGAAATAATATAAATACAGACAACCGGAGACAATGATATCTTACCAGGCAGAAGTAAAGTAATATAGATACAGACAACCAGTGACAATGACAACTTACCAGGCAGAAGTAAAGTAATATAGATACAGACAACAGGTGACAATGACAACTTACCAGGCAGAAGCAAAATAAAATAGATACAGCCAACCGGTGACAATGACATTTTACCAGGCAGAAGTAAAAAAATATAGATGCAGACAACCGGTGACAATGTCATCTTACCAGGCAGAAGTGAAATAATATAGATACAGACGACCGGTGACAATGACATCTTGCCAGGCAGAAGTAAAATGATACAGATACAGACAACCGGTGACGATGACATCTTACCAGGCAGTAGTAAAATAATATAGATACAAACAACCGGTGACAATGACAACTTAACAGGCAGAAGTAAAATAATAAAGATACAGACAACCGGTGAGAATGAAATCTTACCAGGCAGGAGTAAAATAATATAGATACTGACAACCGGTGACAATAACATCTTACCTGGCAGAAGTAAAATAATTAGATACAGACAACCGGTGCCAATGACATCTTACCAGGCTGAAGTAAAATAATATAGGTACAGACAACCGGTGACAATCACATCTTACCAGGCAGAAGAAAAATAATATAGATAAAGACAACCGGTGACAGGGACATCTAACCAGGCAGAAGTAAAATAATTAGATACAGACAACCGGTGCCAATGACATCTTACCAGGCGGAAGTAAAATAATATAGATACCGACAACCGGTGACAATGCCATCTTACCAGGCACAAGTAAAATAATATACATACAGACAACCGGTGACAGTGACATCTTACCAGGCAGAAATAAAATAATATAGATACAGCCACCCGGTGACAATGACATCTTATCAGGCAGAAGTAAAATAATAAAGATACAGACAACCGGTGAAAATGACAACTTACCAGGCAGAAGTAAATGATATAGATGGGATGACATTTGCAGAGAGGGAATGTCATTCAATCTATTTAATGGCTCCGTTGTTTAAATGTTTAAAATGTACTTGGGTGGATTTGGAGTCCTCTATATTGTAAGTTTGGTTGATAAGTTCTATATAAAACATACATACCTGGTATGTCGCCCCCTCGCCAACCCGCCACATTACAGTCTCCCCAAGGGGTCGACTGTTGCTTTTGTTTGCAAATTCCAGTCTTAACAAATAATATAGATACAGACATCCGGTGCCAATGACAACTTACCAGGCAGAAGCAAAATAATATAGATACAGACGACCAGTGACAATGACATCTTAACAGGAAGAAGTAAAATAATATAAATACAGACAACCGGTGACAACGACATCTTACCAGGCAGAAATAAAATAATATAGATACAGCCAACCGGTGACAATGACATTTTACCAGGCAGAAGTAAAACAATATAGATACAGATAACCGGTGACAATGACATCCTTACATGCAGAAGTAAAATAATATAGACACAGACAACCGGTGACAATCACATCTTACCAGGCAGAAGAAAAATAATTAGATACAGACAACCGGTGCCAATGACATCTTACCAGGCATAAGTAAAATAATATAGATACCGACAACCGGTGACAATGCCATCTAACCAGGCAGAAGTAAAATAGTATAGATACAGACAACCGGAGACAATGACACCTTACCAGGCAGAAGTAAAATCATATAGATAAAGACAACCGGTAACAATGACATCTTACAAGGCAGAAGTGAAATAATATAGATACAGACAACCGGTGACAATGACAACTTACCAGGCAGAAGTAAAGTTTAACAAGTTGTTACATGGCACAAAAAACATTACACAATTAAGACATGTGGTGGCCGAAGTGGGATTAGACTACATTAAATAATTCTTAACTGTGGTCCGACTGGTTTAACCATTTAAAAGAAAATGGCCTAGGTGTTAAAATCGTAGTAAGGCTAACAATTATGGAAGGATGGGCTGCAAGCAACCAACGAATCTATGAATTACAAAAATTCACAAAGTCAACCTCACTTGTCTGGTACCTGGTGGAAGAGGAGTTACCTACCCGATTATATAATCCGCACATGGTTGATAGAATTTACAACCGGCAGGTAAAATAAACGGAATTCATATGAGTATGCATTACATATGTATATATCAGTGCCTAAAGTACAGAACAGAGAAATGGGTCGGAAGAACGTTTCTCCAGTTCACAGTCATTGTGACAACGCAGTATCGTGATACATATTGTGACTACAGTATCGTGATACATATCGTGACCACAGTATCATGATACATATCGTAACCACAGTATCGTGATACATATCGTGACCACAGTATCGTGATACATATTATGACCACAGTATCGTGATACACAATGTATGCTTCCATGTGTCTTCAGTTCACAGTCATCATTTTATGTAACAAGTGTATATTGACTTGTGTCAATGCTCATCATCTCTCTTACAATTGTAATGTATGCTAGTTACATTACACAATGCTCAACTCTGTATTTATACTTTGATCACAAGTTGATTTAATATTCCAATAATATACTGTAGTCATTTCTTTTCTTCATATATTTACTGTTTTAAAAAATAAATAACATCCCATATTTATTACACCAACAATTCTGTAACAGCTAGTAGTTACAAGCTACTAAAAGTAAGCTCTCCATTGTCGATTCACATTTTTACAGTTGATGCCAGTATAAAAAGATATAGATTAATACCTTTCTTTGTTGTCTAAGTCTGTTCAGCAATTTTTGTCTTTATGAGGCATTATATTGAGCTTTTTGGTGTATATGGGGAATTATATTGGGTAGGGCTGCAACGATATATCGCGATATTTTGAATACGGTACGATACAAAAAGTTTTTTGGAGGTAACGATAACCTACAATATTTTCAGGATTTGTCATTTCAGAATTTAGTCTACTCATATCACTTCAAACATGTTTCTATCGTTACTATATGTATCGAGATACATATCGTAAACTGACAACACAGTATAGTGATACATATTGTGATACATATCCGAATGTTAATATATCGTTTCAGCCCTAATATTGAGGTTATACTTACACACACCAGGGGCATTATATTGAGATAATACTTATATAGACAAGGGCATTATATCAAGGTTTTGATGTAAATAAACTAGGGACATTATATTGAAATTATGTTCTTCTGTAAACCTGAGGCATTATATTGAGTACTTGTAACAAGTAAAGGAACTATTTTATCTTTTAGCAACAAATATGAATATTCATGACATCATGTTAATATTATAGATCAGGTCATGGTATAACGGTGATGGTGTATTTGCTGCAATTTTCGTTTTTTGGCAATATTTAATATCTAATGGGAGATTTATGAAAAATGAATTAAATCCTTTAAAATTTACTTTTGACATTGTTTATGTTAAATGTTTGCATGTGTTTTTTTGTCTTTACTAACTGTCAAATCTCTCACAGTTAAGTCCCGTCAATACACTTATTGATATGTGTTTATATATAAATGGTATGGTTGATTCAGGTCAACAATCTGTTGACAGTATCTAAAGTGAAAGTATAAAGAACTGAGTAAATAAAGTTCTCAGAGAATGTCTGATCATTTCAGTTTTATAAACAGTTTTTATTAGATGTACTATGATTTGACATGCCATATTTTGTTACATAGATCTGTAAGTTATGTGTGTGCTTCCACTTTGTAGGTCGGACCTTTCTCGCAAGTACCGTTCCAAAGTGAGCGAGTTGGAGCTCAAGAGGATTGAGGTGCTTAGAATGAATCAGGATTTTGAAACCAAAATGAGACAGACAGAGGTAAACGAGTCTTTATTCTCTTTAGATAAAACATTTGTAAAAGTTATATGATTGTAACTGCTACTTTATGAAACAGTGACTCAACTAAAGATGTAGTAAAGGCAGTTAAGGTTACTAATTATATCTAAACATTAATTATCACATGTAATCTGTTTATGGAGGCACGGTAGTCTAGTGGTAGGACGCTTGGCTCGTGACTGAAGGGTTGCAGGTTCGAGTCACGACACGGCAGTGTGTTGTATCTTTGATCAAGATACTTTACTCCGCTTGTTCCAGTCTACTCAGCTGTAAATGAGTATGTGTTTGGGCAATGTTAGAATTGTTGAATGCTAGCTGTGAGCGCTGAAACGGTAGCACCAGTTGTATGCTCCCCAGGGAGCTGAGAAAGATATTGGCTGGTTGCAAAGGCTCTATAACCACGGATAATTATTTGTGAACCGTTTTGAGACAACCTATGAACTAGGTTGTAATTAAGTGGTATAAAAGAGCCTGAAATTATTATTAATTATTATCATTATTTAGAAACTTTGATCATTGAAATCCTTTAATAGAACAGTGTACCATCTCAAATTTTAAAAAGCTCATGTTTATAAATGTTTGGCCCTGGTTTTACATAATATGTTACACTGGTACTTTCAGGAAGAACAGCTGAATCTACAAAACGAACTGGCCGAGCTGTCTATTAATCTGAATATGGAATCTCAGAAAGGCAGAGTAATGCGATTTGAATCGGAAAGGTAAAACTGATAAAAAAATTGTTTTATGGACTAGGATCATTCCTACTGTGAGTTGTTGCTGATAACTGATTCATATGTGTCCCGTGAGGAAGATTTCTCTTGTGTTCATTAAATAAAATTGGGACTTTATCAAATTTATATCATTAGGCCTAGGTTCCTCATTAGGTTCCCTGGAATTTGTCTTAAAATCCTACTGGTTCAGTTCTGATATAATATCTTCATTTTATTTTATTTTCATTTCAGAGAAAGAAAGAAGAATCAAACAAATAAAATACAAGAAAATTTACAAGGAGTGGATAATGTTAAAAATAAATTAATGTAAGTATTTCAATTTTGACTTAGTGCTTCATTGAGTTTGGTTAGAAAACTCTTGTTATATAAATATTACATTTCTACTGTGGTACATTTTGACTCATCTGTAAATGAGAATTTGTTATTTTCATATTCAGATGATAATACTTTATCATTAACTGCTTGATGAGTATGTAATGCCAGATAAAGGTAATGATACAGTTAAAAAGGAGACCAGTTTTTTTGTTACATAGACATATTATGCTAGTGATTATTAAACTAGCAGGCTGTTGATTGTAAGTACAGGACTCTAGCTCTATTGTTTTGTTTCTACAGGAGAAGTGATGGTGATACTAAGGCAGCAGAAATGAATAAACGAAAATTAAGTGCTGACCTGTCCCTAACAAAGTCACACTTAGATATCAAAAAACGAGACGGTGAGTACTAGATAAGGATGTGGATGTTGTATTAGATACCGAGTACTAGATGATGATGATGATGATGATGTTGAGAATACTGTTTATAAAATGGTAACATGTGACTGAATTTCAAATCAGTGTACTTAGTTGTATCTTTGAATCTGTTTCAGAACAACGACATTTAACAGACACCCAGTTTCGACTAGATGATAATTCTAACATACAGCGACAACTAAACGAGGCAGCTTTCCATGCCAACCTAGACATGAAGGCCCGACAGATTGACCAGAAACTGGAGGTCAGTGAGTTTCCCCTGGACTGCTCTTTAAATATATACTACACAAGTGTTCAAAGCTAATGGGGATGGTATTGTTTGTATATGTTTGAACAAGCATCTTTATAAACATATTGAGCCTTAACAATCATGGATTGCTGAGATTGCTGATTGGATACATTATAGATCGGTGGACAAGGGAAATAACTCTTTCATCCCTAGAATTCAATATTTATTCATTTACATTTGGAAATTTAACAATTGCAATAGGCTTTGTGGTCGTAGAAATGCTTACTTCTTTATTCTCTTCTCATGCCTGTTGGCTATTTTGGTAGTAACAGAGATTTTCCAGTCTTAATGTACACAAAACAATTAAAAATTAGTCCTCATATGGCAATATTTTGCCCTAAATCTATACATAAAACATAACACCAAAATGAAATAAAGGGAAATAACTCTGCAATATTTTAAGGATATGTGCCATTTTCCCAATCATTGTTCAGTTGTCTCTCTTTGTCTTGATTTTACTTCATAAGTTAAAACACAACATTGTGTCTGTAAAGGTATTGTCTGTAAAGGTATTGTCTGTAAAGGTATTGTGTCTGTAAAGGTATTGTGTCTGTAAAGGTATTGTCTATAAAGGTATTGTGTCTGTAAAGGTATTGTCTGTAAAGGTATTAGAGGGTTGTTAGTGAAGGCTTGACATGGTGCCCCAGATTCACACATGTAACATCAACTATTTGTTGTTAATTGAGCCTTCTATATACATTGCACTAGAAATATCCCAGTAGCTTATAGTAACAACAAATCTTATTTAACCTTTTTACAGTCAATTTGAACATTTTTGTCATTTCAAAAACTGTACAGGTGCTGGTTGGGAAATCAGCACTATCTCCTTTGTCCTGCATGTATTAAGTGATATGATTAAATTTTTCTCTTGTAAACTCAACTTGACAGTCCACCAACCATTAAAACACCATAATGTTTCCAGGAAAAGACGAGTTTAAACCCTACCATTTGTCTGATAACATGTTTGTACATCCCCAACATTAATCCTCCAAGTTAACATTGACACTTTCTCATCTATAAACTTTATGTCACTGCCTCTCCCTGATTTGTCTCCAATGAATCCCCCCATTCTTCAGTTAAGGTTGCTGTTGCCCCTCTCCCTTTCCCCGGGATCTGGTGAAATCTACCCCTCCTCCAGGTAACATATTTCCCCGCCTCCTTACCACACCATTTAAATCAACTTGATCCTTTAATGTTAAATATCTTTTTCCCCACTGTACTATATATATAGCTAGTTAGCCTAAAGCAAAACATGTGTTTGTTTTTATCCTCTCTCCCATCTGTACAGAAAGCACATCCTTTTTAAAAGATTTTTTTCACAGCAGCATTGTGTTATTTTTTTCTTTCTGTATACCAGTATATATATACATGAACACTTTCAGAAATATCAAATTCTTTAAAATGTTTATAAATTTAACAAGATGGTATCAAATTTTGAGTCTTCTTTGATTTTTGTTGTAATTATAACATAAAATATACGGTACCAATTTGTGTTGGTTAGCCTGCAGGTGTTACATAGTTTGGGCCAAGTTCAGGTAAATGTCATTATAAAATAGTGAATATGAGGCTTGTCTGTCTTATCAAGCGGGAGCTGGGCTGTCACTGGCACAGATAACCAGACATTTGTTACAAAAATGGCACAGATCAATCGAATGGACTAAATGCTTATGTTTTTTTCATGTGAATTGTATATGTATGTAATAAAGCTAGCACACCTGTGTTAGGACAAACCAAAAACAATTTGTTTCCCATCCAGTGTCTCAAAACTCTACTTATCGTGATCATTATGTTTTATATTGACATTTTTTAGACTGGTCCAGAAATTACAATGACTTTTGTATTTATTATTGTTTCATTAATATGAACTTTCTGTTCAGTGAAATATGTTTATTATCATTTCATTAATATGAACTTTCTGTTAAGTGAAAATATGTTTATTATCATTTCATTAATAGGAACTTTCTGTTAAGTGAAATATGTTTATTATTATTTCATTAATATGAACTTTCTGTTAAGTGAAATATGTTTATTATCATTTCATTAATATGAACTTCCTGTTCAGTGAAATATGTTTATCAGAGCTTCATTTAGTACCTTATATTTGTATATTGAACAGATATTTAATAATTTATGGAAAATCAGTTGAATTCTCCACAGCACATTTTTTTCACAGATTATAAAAACTTGCAGGTCTTTGCCTTTTATATTATATACTGTATATAACCCATCTATTGAGGAAGACTCTCTCTGTCTTGTCACAGCTAATGAATCCTAAACCGTAAAATTGTATTTGCCAGGCCATATTGAAGCTGTGAAAACTAATTCACTATCTTGTACCCATGGAACTCGAATGGGGGAGGTTTAGACATATTTGTTATAGGGAAATCTGAGCGGGTAGATTCTTCACAGAATTGTTTAATTTGTTGGCTACACGAGAAGCAATTACCTTGAGAAAGAAGCTTATCTTACACACTTCCCCTGCTGTGCAGTTGACACAGTGGTCATGTTACAAAGAGGGAGTCGAGTACAATTCACACAGACAACAACCCCATACAACACTGTAAGATGTTTCCCTTCTACCTTACAGCAGTTAGTCTTTTCACTAAGCCTTGATCAGAAATGTTCTGAGTGAATTTGACAAGGTATGTTCAACATTTAATAAGTGTTTCAAGTGGACAAGATGTCTTACAGCTGTACTTGATTTCAAAATATTTTTTCAATCAGTTCAGTCCATGTTTTTTCTATAGGTACTCGTTGAGCAGCGTAATTAACATCGTTGAATAAGCCTATGACATACTGACTATAGATTGCTATTGGTCCCATTGAGATATTAAGTCTACACACTTAACAGACATCAAGGGTTTCACTCAATTTTATTGGCGTCACTGATTGATGAAATTAAGTCAAAAATAATGTTGATTTATAAACATATGTTAATATGTTGATGTGCATTGCATGTGTACGTGCTAAAATCCAGGGCATTGTATTTACTTACCGGAAAATGATGAAAGAAACATGTCAAAATATTGTTAACCCGAATAATCAAAATTACACATGGAGTCATATTATTTGTGAATGAAATGAAATCTAATTTCTTGATGTTTAATAATTTCTGTTTTTGTAACCCCCCAAGGTGTTGAATGGTTATCGACCTTGACAATGAATGCTACCTCATTTACTCCAAATCACTATAAAGTGGAGAAATTAGTAGCTAAGTATGTCTACCATGTATTAATTACATCAAATTACATAATTAATTTGTCAGTTTTCAAATTTGTAAAAACCTGTACCGTGAAATTATCTAGTGACCATGTTTTAACACTGTCAATAAATATCACAAAATGTTGGTAGGTAGAAATGTATTGCTGTCCCAGCAGGGGTTATCATTAAATTGAATGACGTAAGTTTTACATGATGCATACAAAGTATTGGGCTATTGATTTATAAGCCATTTACTGTTTTATTAATTCAGAAAAAAAGTTTTTACAAGCTTTCAATGAGACCTGTAGAAAGTGAACAAATTTCTGTTCATTATGTATAGTCCAAGATAAGTCCAAGGTGTGATTTATACAGGGCTGAGATATATATTCTGTGACAGTCCCCCACTGCTATATTCTGTGACAGTCCCCCACTGCTATATTCTGTGACAGGCTCCCACTGCTATATTCTGTGACAGTCTCCCACTGTTATATTCTGTCACAGTCCCCTACTGCTATATTCTGTGACAGTTCCCCACTGCTATATTCTGTGACAGTCCCCCACTGCTATATTCTGTGACAGTCCCCCACTGTTATATTCTGTGACAGTCCCCCACTGTTATATTCTGTGACAGTCCCCCACTGCTATATTCTGTGACAGGCTCCCACTGCTATATTCTGTGACAGTCTCCCACTGTTATATTCTGTGACAGTCCCCCACTGTTATATTCTGTGACAGTCCCCCACTGCTATATTCTGTGACAGTCTCCCACTGCTATATTCTGTGATGTGGTACTATTTTTTACCCCAGTGTAATATGACAGTTCCCCCTCATGTTAACTCTTGATCATCAATCATTTGATGATTTTAAGTGGAAGTTCTGTGAATTAGTGGAATCCACTATTAATTTATACTTTATGACTAGTAACTTAGTCTACATCATTGCCCTACGCCACTGCCCTACATCATTGCCCTACATCAATGCCCCATCAATGCCCTACTGCCCTACATCATCGCCCAACATCATTGCCCTACGCCACTGCCCTACATCATTGCCCTACATCAATGCCCCAACAATGCCCTACGCCACTGCCCTACGTTATTGCCCTCGCTGTTGACAGAGTTCACAACTTAAGATTTTATAAGAGATTGTATATATTTCATCTCTATCTCTGTAATACAGTGGAGTTGATTGAGACATCTATTGGATAATAAAACCACACTTCTTGATGATAAATGATCAGCAGCTAGTTCATGTTGAAAAGGTCATTCTGCTTTCATTTTATAAGTGTACAATGAAGGAATTTATTTTCCATGTACATGTGTATTGTTCCTTAAAGTTTTTCAAGGTATAAATATATGTGATACGATTAAAATCAAGAGGAGGCTACATTAAATGATAAAACCTTAATGTAGGGTAATACTATAGGCAATGCTACATTCATTGTTTAAGATAACTGTGAGACATTCTATTCTTGTTTATAGTTTTGATTTAACCCCATCCCTATCAGAACCGGACCCCATCCCATCCACTCCATCTGCCCACCTTTATTTCTCCATGCTCACACTGTGTCCACCCCTTTCCCGCAGTCCTCTTCCATGCAGTGGGGAAAAGTGTGAAGAGAAAATTAACCCAATCTTTATTTTAGCAGATGGATTCAAAATATTCTCTGAAAATCATGACACGTATTGACCTTGTTTTGTTGTAATGCTATCACAGCATGCAAAGAACTGTTTTCCTCACTGTCAAAAATTTCACGTCACAGATGGCATATTTTTCCAATATTAGCATTTCATGTCAAAAGTTTTCATGAATATTTCATCATTATGCATGCTGTTAATGGGTTTAGACTTTTGACACTGTGAAGTCAGGTTTTTGCTAGGGTTGCTTCCTCAATCTTCGAAAGAGATGTCTTGTCAGAATTTTATCAACTTACACCATCATTTCCTCCCTGGAATGAGAGATGTGTGGATTGTGTTGGACTGAGAGGTTACAATTTTAACAAGTGCCCTCATTATAGTTACAAGTGTGTGCCATGTCCCCACAGCCCTATAACCAAGCAGGCAGTGTGCTAGCAAGTTTCTGATACAATTTTATCTCCAACAGAAATTACTTTTTTGAATAATTCAACTTTTCTAGCTCGAAACCATTTCTGGAATGAAACAATTAGTTGTTGATATTCTATGGGCTTGTTTTACAGGGAGAGATAATATGTATGGTAAAACTGGTCCAAACCCTACAATAATTGGAACAAATCCGTTTTTGTTCGGAGTACATCTAGGGTTTTGGATATTTAACAGTAGGCTCAATTTACATAGGAATATGTTTATATCGTGTAGATAATTATAAGTTATAATCTAGGTCACTCACATAAGCCTAGATTTTCTAACATGAGCTGAAGTGTTAAAATCCTTTTTCTTATACAGGAAAATCATTGCACATAATTTATAAGCATTGCATGTAAGCAGTTTCTTTGGCAACATAAACTGACTTGAATCTCATGTGAAAAACTTAACTTGCATACATTTCTAACTTCTGTGCTGCTCTTGAATTTCTCATGTGCAAAGGTATCATTTTTGAAAGGTCAGGTTCATGCAGGTTTCCGCAGCATACAGGTCTATGTAGAAATGGATACATAGTAATTGACTTACCGGTAGTTGAAGATCTAGCTGCTGTATTCAGGTTTCCGAATACAATTTAGCTCTGAAAGGTTTCATGGGATTATAAAATCACTGTCTCATTCAGTGTATCCTGTAAAATGGACCAAACTCTTCACTCATCATAACCCAGTGTCTAATTTATTTTATAAGCTGATCTAAAACAAATAATTTCAGTCTATATGCTGTTTTAGATACTGAAATGTCCAATGTTATTTCTTATAAAACAACCTTGGAAACCAGGGTATTGGGTTTTTTGGATAATTTTAGATAATTCCTGGTTAATGTTGGCAAAACTTCCAATGCAATTGTAATAGAATACCATTAGAAGTTATTGTAAGCTGTATTGTAATTAGGTTACGTAAAAAGTTTTGAGCTGTATTTTAATTACAGCCATAGGTAAAGTTAGAAGTTTTGAGCTGTATTTTAATTATAGTGGTAAGTAAAGTTAGAAGTTTTGAGCTGCATTTTAATTACAGCGGTAGGTAAATTTAGAAGTTTTGAGCTGTATCTTAATTACAGCCATAGGTAAAGTTAGAGGTTTTGAGCTGTATTTCAATTATAGTGGTAAGTAAAGTTAGAAGTTTTGAGCTGTATTTTAATGACAGCGGTAGGTAAAGCTAGAAGTTTTGAGCTGTATTTTAATTACAGCGGTAGGTAAAGTTAGAAGTTTTGAGCTGTATTTTAATTATAGTGGTAAGTAAAGTTAAAAGTTTTGAACTGTATTTTAATTACAGTGGTAGGTAAAGTTAGAAGTTTTGAGCTGTATTTTAATTACAGCGGTAGCTAGGTAAAGTTAGAAGTTTTGAGCTGTATTTTAATTATAGTGGTAAGTAAAGTTAGAAGTTTTGAGCTGTATTTTAATGACAGCGGTCGGTAAAGTTAGAAGTTTTGAGCTGTATTTTAATGACAGCAGTAGGTAAAATTGCAAGTTGTGAGCTGTATTTCAATTACAGCGGTAGGTAAAATTACAAGTTTTAAGCTGTATTTTAATGACAGTGGTAAGTAAATTTAGAAGTTTTGAGCTGTATTTTAATGACAGTGGTAGGTAAATTTAGAAGTTTTGATTTGTATTTTAATTACAGTAGTATGTAAAGTTAGAGGTTTTGATCTGTATTTTAACTACAGTGTAGGTAAAGTTAGAAGTTTTGATCGGTATTTTAATTACAGTGTAGGTAAAGTTAGAAGTTTTGAGCTGTATTTTAATCACAGCAGTAGGTAAAGTTAGAAGTTTTGAGCTGTATTTTAACTACAGTCTAGGTAAAGTAAGAATTTCTACATTACAATGGAGTTACTGTCATAGGTGACTAAGGTTAATTTATAGGTAGTGTGATTTGTTTGTCAATTTCCTCTTATAGGTAAGAAATATGTAAAGTACATCATGTAGAAAAACAAGCTCTAGGTAAGATGTGGGGTTGATATGTTCTAATTAAATAAATACACCGACTTTGACATTAAATATGAAACCTCAGAAAAAAGCAACAAAATGAAAATAGTTTTAATAACAAAATTGATTTTTAGACAGGAATATTTACAGAATATTTTTCTTAAGGAATTAATTAAGTAATATGAATATTTAATTGATAATTTTAGTTAAATTTAATCTGAATTAAAAATGAAGACACATGTTAATTCATTCAAGAAAATTTGTGTACCATTTCAAACGTTAAGATGTATTTAGCATATCACTAAATATGTTTTTAGATGTTGTTGAATGAATTGACCTTGGTAGGTTAAACAGGTGTATTATAATAATACAGATCATAGTGACTGGCTTAGAGGATGTTGGTACTGGAGACATGTACGCAGGTGAAGTCATGAAACAGATATTTGTCATTCTGAGAGCTTTTACATTGAAAAGAAAATATAGGGTGACTGTAAGTGATATGTAGGTCTCGTCAACAACAAATTCACATCCATCCAAATGAAATTTTTCATCCCAAATTATATAGTAAGTGAGTGTTAAGATTGTGAAGCATTCTTTGGCCTGCATATACATACCACATCTGCATAGTTACACATATTTGTCAAAAACCCAGTCATTCTTTTACACAGGTTGCATGTAATCTCCGCTACCACCATAAATTCAAATGAAATCTTGGTGGTCATTCATACAGAAAGTAATCAGCTGGCCTTAATTTGAAGAAAATTGAAAATAGATGAGAAAGTTACAACCTCAAATTACATGTTATCCAAAACTGATGATTTACTTTGCTGAATGAATGTCAACATCTAGTGGTGCGGTCTTTAATGTCCGGGGTTGATTTTGTGTAGCATGTGCCTATATCAACAGTGTTTGATGATAACATGAGTACTGCCTTAATAAATTGCAGCTCTGGGTGTAATGGTAGGAAGGAAGGGATTTACAACCCTCCGGACCAATAACAGCTTTTCTGGGTACACACACACATTACTTGATTAAATTTTAAAGTTTTTGTTTTTATTTAAAACTGCAGTGTATTATCTGGGTGGCGAGCAGAAGGCAGGAAGGGCTTGGTGTCCTGTCAGTAGTAAGGTCGGGGTAATCTCTTCATCTAAAGGTGAACTCTCAGGTTTAGACTCACTAAGTTACGAAGATATTATTTGCTACCCTAGATAAAACCAAGCACCTATATATTGTTAACAAACGGATAAAAATCTTGTGATTCTCTAAGTAACATGTCTATTGTCAACTATGTAAAGAAAAAGGATCTTGGTGTGACAGCATTTGTCATCAATATTAGTGGGGGACATTGGACTGGAAAGTTTGCTGTTTTAACTTTTGAAATATTGACATATTGGTTTTCTTGGTAAAAGTATTGGGGGCAAGGAAATATTTGATACAAGCAATATCTTTTATCATGACAGTTTGGTATTGTAGAGAAATTAATTTAATGTTTACGATAGACTATATATTGCTACCAGAAACATTGGGACATTGTGTCACCTGTCACTGGTAACTGTTTTAACACTATACGCTACCTTTGTAGTACTTAGTCATATGTAGTATTTAATCATATACATAAATGTAGTACTAATCTAAAGTCATATACATGTACATAATGTTACATCATAAAGTACAAGTACTTAATCATAGGTTGCTTGAAGACTTAATAATTGAAGACGATTGATGACACCTGATTTTTGAAAAGTTTTTGAGTCAAAGTTTGATAAAGCCGGATATTTGAATTACACTGTGTTAATATACTTTTCGCAACATTTAAAATGGACAGTTCTATAATACTAGAAGTTCGTTATTTGCTAACACCCAACCCCCATACGCAACAACAAAAAAACACATTTTTCACAACAGCATGAGCTTCATTATTTGTTAGCAAAAAAACCCACAGCATTTAATATCTACAAATGGACAGTTCATCACTTGAGGTACATTGTATGTTTCAGGCCCATAATGCCAGGAGAATCAACAAACTGGTATCAACAATGTCCGACAAGAAGATGAAGGAGGATGAAAAACAGGCAGTATGGGAGTCGCGATTCAAGAGACGTTACAATGAACACAAGCGCAAGGAACACGACGATCAGCTCAAATTCTTCCAGGTAGGTCTTAACGATGGCCTTACTGTGGGGAGGATTGAAGCTTGTGACTGATAGTATCTTACGGAGTCTGCATGTACAAAGTAATGTGAAATTGGATCCACCCAGTACCTATTATAGACCACCACCCCACACCACACCACACCACCCCACACCACACCACCCTTTCTCAGAATTGGCCCCCGCCTTCCTCATCCTGTGACCATACTGTACAATTGGTTTACTGACAACTTTACTGACAACAGTTGTAGTCACTTTGCTATTTTGTTTTTTATTTTTGTTTGCGCTGACAAGTCACATGCTGTGGTAGCCATATTGTAATCAGGCTTAGTTTCAAACATGACATTCAGTCAATCAAGAAATACTCTTCTCATTGAAGTTAGTGAAAACCCTGGATATGTATATGTCAAGTAAATAGTTGTAACTATATGTGTCAAGTTAATAGTTGTAACTATATGTGACAAGTTAATAGTTGTAGCTATATGTGTCAAGTTAATAGTTGTAACTATATGTGTCAAGTTAATAGTTGTAACTATATGTGTCAAGTTAATAGTTGCAGCTATATGTGTCAAGTAAATAGTTGTAACTATATTTGTCAAGTTAATAGTTGTAACTATATGTGTCAAGTTAATAGTTGTAACTATATGTGTCAAGTTAATAGTTGTAGCTATATGTGTCAAGTTAATAGTTGTAACTATATGTGACAAATTAATATATGTAACTATATGTGACAAGTTAATAGTTGTAACTATATGTGACAAGTTAATAGTTGTAACTATACGTGACAAGTTAATTGTTGTAACTATATGTGACAAGTTAATAGTTGTAACTATGTGTCAAGTTAATAGTTGTAACTATATGTGTCAAGTTAATAGTTGTAACTATATGTG